ACCTTTCACCTTCAGCCTATGTATGTCTTTTCCTATCAAATGCGTCTCCTGTAGGCAGCATATTGTTGGTCTTGTTTTGTGGTCCATTCTACTAGCCTGCGTCTCTTAATTGGTGAGTTTAAGCCATTAACATTTAGGGTTATTATTGAGATATGGGTTGTTGTTCCAGCCATATTTGTTTATTTCTGTTACTAAACATGGTTTGTTTTCCTCTTTGATTATTCCCCCCCCTTTACTGTCCTACCTCCCACTGTTGGTTTTCATTGTTATTTTCCATTTCCTCTTCCTGTAATCTTTTGCTGAGGATGTTTTGAAGAGATGGTTTTCTAGCTGCATATTCTTTTAACTTTTGTTTGTATTGGAAGGTTTTAATTTCATCTTCCATCCTGAAGCTTAATTTCGCTGGATACACAATTCTTGGTTGGAACCCATTTTCTTTCAGTGTTTGAAATATATTATTCCAGGATCTTCTAGCTTTCAGAGTCTGTGTTGAAAGATCAGCTGTTATCCTGATTGGCTTACCCCTAAATGTAATCTGCTTCCTTTCTCTTGTAGCTTTTAAAATTCTCTCCTTATTCTGTATGTTGGGCATCTTCATTATAATGTGTCTAGGTGTGGATCTCTTATAATTTTGCACATTCGGTGTCCTGTAGGCTTCTAGAATTTGGGATTCTGTCTCATTCTTCAAGTCTGGGAAGTTTTCTCATATTATTTCATTGAATAAATTGCTCATTCCTTTGGTATGGAGTTCTATACCTTCCTGTATCCCAATGACTCTTAAGTTTGGTCTCTTAATGTTATCCCATATTTCTTGGATGTTCTGCTCATGGTTTCTTAACAGTCTTGCTGAGCTGTCTATGTTCTTTTCAAGTTGAAATACTTTGTCTTCATTGTCTGATGTTCTATCTTCTAAGTGTTCTACTCTGCTGGTAGTACTCTCAATTGAGTTTTTAAGTTGGTTTATTGCTTCCTGCATTTCTAGGATTTCTGTTTGTTTGTTTTTTATAACCTCTATCTCCCTGTATAGTTGATCCTTTGCTTCCTGGATTTGTTTGTGTAATTCCTTGTCGAAGTGATCTTTCATTGTCTGATTTTGCTGTCTAATTTCTTCCTTGATACTGCAGATCATCTGAAGCATATATATCCTGAATTCTTTATCTGACATTCCATCTGCTGCAGCTGTTACCTCTTCTAAAGTTGAGTTGACCTGCATTGCTTGTAGTCCTTTCTTTCCTTGTCTTTTCATACTGCTTGCGTTTCTTTCTTCTTGGTGAAACTGTTGTGTTTTTGAAATTTTTTCCCCCCCGTATATATTTATATTGCTCTTGTATAGTTTAAAATTCTCCCTTGCAGGTGCGGGCGGGGGCTCTGCTCTGCCCCTCCTCCAATTGGTGTGAGATGTCTACCACGCCCGCGGACCCCTGGGCCTGATCCGCTGTTCTGTCGCAGGTCTGCCTACCTTGCAGGTGGGGGCGAAGTCTCTGCCCTGCCCCTCCTACCACACCCGGGGACCGCTAGGCCTGATCTGCAGGTTAGTCACCGGTCTGCCCACCTTGCGGGCACGGGTGGCAGTTCCGCTCCGCCCCCACTCCAATTGGGGTCACTTGACCACCACACAGGCGAGCCGCTGGGCCTGATCTGGGCACGGGCTAAGGCTCTGCTCTGCCCCTACTCCAGTTGGGGTGAAGTGTGTACCACGCTGGCAGGCCGCTGGGCCTGATCCACCGGTCTGTCGCAGGTCTGCTTACCTTGCCGGCGCTGGCAGTGGCTCTGCCCTGTCCCTCCTACCACACCTGCAGACCGCTGGGCCTGATCTGCAGGTTGGTCGCAGGTCTTCCTACCTTGCGGGCACGGGCGGCGGCCCCTCTCCTCGCCTCTGGCTCGATGACAAAGCGAGAGAGACTTGGGTATCTGTGACTCACCCTCCCTACCAGGGGACCAACTGTTTCCGTCGCCGCTGGCACCGATGAAGTTTTCTCCTCGGCCGCTCTCCGATGACATCAGATCTCTGCCATGCTGGCATCCCCTGTTCTATGGCTGAATCCCATTTTCTTCTCTTCCAATAGGCGGAGCTGTGCCCTCTGAGCTGAGCTTCTGCCCTCTATGTGCTGACAGAAATCCCTGTACGGTGGCTCCTGGGAGTCTCTCAATCCTGCTAATGTGGATTCCGTTGGGAAGGAATTCTGTCTGCGGAACTCTGGTGATGTCACCACTCTGCTATGGCGGGCCCCAGGCTCCTTGCCGGAGTGTCCGAAGGGAGGGGTGGGACTGGTCTGTCTCTGGTTGGTTTCAGCTCCCGGTTTTCTATTTCATGAAGGCTTGGCAAGAGACCTCTTCCTAGAGTCCCTGCACCGCTCCTGCTGCGCTGCGCCTTGGAGGCTATCCGCCCTGACGCGGGGGCCGCGTGCAGGCAGCCGACAGTCGCCGAGTCGCGCGGGCAGCGGCTGGCGGGTCTGGACCTCTGCGCTGCGTGGCGGAGATTCACTCGTCTAGCGCAGACTGTCACCTCCAAAAATCCTTCCAATTCCCGGCCGGTCTCTCTTTAGTGGAATTTTGCTAGGAGTTTCTCAGCAGGTCAAATCTAAGCGTATCCATGCGTCTCTCTGACCCCTTTGTTGAGGAGGTACTGAAAGCGCTGCCTCCCCTCTCGCCGCCATGTTGGATCCCCCACCATTTTTCCAGAGGGTCTTGGAATATCCCCAAAGAATTTACTTTCTCTCCTAATTAAAAGAGAGATATTAACCTAATTAAAATTTCAATTTTTAAAATTTGCCTGGAAATTTTAGGATTTCCTAAATTTGCCTCATGTTTACTGAGTCACATGGATAAAATGATTAATAAGTATCTCATAAATTGTACAAAATTTCTGCAAACCTAACATGATCTTATATGATGTTATCACTTATCATTTTGAGTACCATATCAGCTTATTGGGTGTCAAAAACTTCTAAGGAAGAATAGAAGCATAAAATCAAATCTGAAGGACTCCAAATTTCCTACTCCTTAAAACCCTCAGGGTGTGTCTTGTGTGAAATTCAACATTCTTTATTTGAATAACAAAAGGTGGAAGGCATAGATCACAAATGAGTAATGATAAAATAGAGGGAAAGAGAAGACAGGGTTCAAGGAAGAGGCAAACTACAAACACATTCAGGTCCAAAAATACTTGATTGAATTATTTTGGACATATTAAGGATTTTTCAGCCTGTGTACATTCCTAAATTTGTTATATATATTTTAAAAATACATTTTTAAAAATGTATTTTTTCTATAGAATCCAAGGCAGACAGGAAACAATAAATCTTTTGCCTGGCAGCTGGCTTGTGGTTAAAGGAGGTGGGAAGCTGGGTGGAAGCACCCATGGGAAGGGGTCCTAGTTGTCCATACATTGTGTCCATAGTCTCCAAATTCCAGACCTTCCAGCCCCCCAAAAGAGGACAGAAATCAGAAATGACATGCTGATTGTTTTATTTGCAGATTAAAGACACTTTTATGACTGAATTATTCCAACAGCGTAACACTCCAAAGGGCAACATCTTCTCTTTTGCTGTCTGAAACAAGAATGGAAAATTTCAGGGGAGAACTGATATGGCGGGAGACTGATCATCACTTGTTGGTATCAGTGAAGTGAGGCAGGTGACAGCCCACCTCCTCTTTCTTTTCCCTTTGTCCTTCCCCCTTTTCCCTCCTAATCTCATTATTCTTTCTTGTTAGGCACCTGAACACATTTAGAGGCTACCAAGTTTGCTTGGAATATGAGGCAGTGATAATTATTCTTAGGTTGTCTTTTGATTTCTATTGAAAATGGTCAATTCTGTGTCTACAAAAATAGTCACTACAAATATATTTATAATAGTGAAATTGAAACAGGCTCAAAGTGTATAAGCAATATTTGATTCAAAAGTATGACAAAGTTACACACTGGAAAATGATACAATTGCAAGAATATTAAATGTGGAAGAAAGTAAAAAATTGAGAAGGAGATAGATATAATGAAATAAGGAAAGGAAGAGCAGAAAGAATAGAATCAGAAAAAGGAAGAGAGAAAGAAAATAGAAGGAAGGAAGAATGGAAAAAAAGGAATAAAGAAACTATCTATACATCTAAATAAACATATTAGAAAAGAAATATTAAAGAATATGTCATTTGAAATGAGCAACATACAGATATGCATATCATTTTTGTCATCAGTTGTAGGAAAAAGTATGATGTACTTATATGTTCATAATGTTTCTAAAAAGATTTCATAAAGAAATTATACTGTGGCTTTTGGTGAGGGATATGGGGAAGGTAGAATGAAATGTCTTTTAAAAATAGCTTCATACCTTTCTCTCCATTTAGACCAATTTTATTTTTGCATGAGCATTGATTCATTTAAAAGTGAGCACTTTAAAATCTAGATAAAAATTAGTATCAGAGACTGAATATTATTTGAAAGGAGTACTGAACGTGAGAGCTGTGATATGACATAGAACTAAGCTAAGAGTCATCAGGAGGATATATGAGATGAGAAGCCATTGAGTCTGAACAAAGAGGCAGAGGACAAAAGAAAGAATCATGCTCTGCTTGCTTAAACCAACTTGAATGAAGTCAAGAATATAATCAGTGAGAGAAAGCAAAATAGAGGGCAATGCTCCTTAAAATCATAATTACTTTGGAGTAAGAACTTAAAATATTGGCATTCTCTACAGCAGAGAAACATTTAGAAAGAGATTCCATGACTGCAAATATTCCCTATTTTACCAATTGATTTTCTGGAACACTGCACTCTGTGTTAGTGTCCTATCTGAGGAGTGAATTAGAATCTTAGGTGTCTTTGAATTTAGATTTACTGGGATGATAGAAGATGGAAGGTCTTTGTAGTCTACCCTCAGAGGAGGGTGGTGGTTCCTTTACCAGATGGGATGAAATGAAGGAGTATGCTCATGATTACCTTGTGATTGGGGTGGTCATTGTTGGTTTTCAGGATGAAAGGGGCCATTTGGCTGCTGCTGCTGCTGTTAGTACTGTTCTCCTTGTTGGGGTGGTTCCTGCCGGTTTTCAGGACAAGGGGGGCCCTTTGGGTTGTTGCTGCTGGCCTCCTTGTTGAGGTGGTCCCTGATGGTTTCCAGGACGAGGGGGGGGGCATTTGTTGCTCTGCTGCTGCTGGCCTCCTTGCTGGGGTGGTCCCTTCTGGTTACCAGGATGGGGGGGGGCATTTGGTTGCTGCTGCTGCTGTTGCTGCTGACCTCCTTGTTGGATGGTCCTTGCTGGTTTCCAGGACAAGGGGGACCATCGGGTTGGTGTTGCTGACCTCCTTGTTGAGGTGGTCTCTGATGGTTACCAGGACAAGGGGGACCATTTGGTTGCTGCTGCTGGCCTCCTTGTTGAGGTGGTCCTTGCTGAGAACCTTCTTGTTGGTTTCTGTAACCAGCAGGAGGTCTAGGTCTGAATCCTCCATTATGATATCGTTGAGGCTGCTGCTGGTAGATCTGGCTTTGCTCGTCACTATCTGTTTGGGTACAGCCCAAGAATAGATGAGCTTAGTGGTGGAAAACTCCTTACTATTTATCTCTCTGATCTTGTCACATAGACCCTTTTTCCCTGAATGTTATTCTCAGCTTCCAACCTTCCTCACGGCCTCTCCTTCCTCATGAAGAACTCCTTTATCAGTTTACTCTCATATGGAATATCTCACATTCAGTTCCAAGAACAATTGGCTGTCCTTAAGTTTTAAAAACAACAACAAAAATGTTTTGATCACCTAACCATCTGAGACAGAAGAGTTACAAAATAAAAGTATTAAGAATGTCAGTTATGTTTTGAGACACAGTAATAAGTGCTGAGCATGAATTCAAGTCTTTTCACCTGAGCCCTGTATTGAAACAACAGATGAGTTTGTCAGGGCCCAAGGTCCCCATGGAAAAATACTAAGACAGAGAAGAGAAAAATAAGTGATGACCTGCAAGATTCACTAAACAGCTGTGGAAGTTTTTGTCAGTTACCAGGACACAGCAGAACAGAGGAAAACAGAGAAAAAGAATCCAGATGCTTACTTGGGCTCATTTTGTCCTGAAACTCTGCAGTGCTAGAGAGGCCTACCGAGGAAAAATGAAGCTGCTGAGTGACTCTCAGCACCAGGGAAGAGCCAGAATAAGGGCCCTTCCCATTCATGAATCATCTCTCCACAGTCCTTTCTCCCTGGGGGAGCAGATGACTTAGTCTTGTGAGGAAAGCCAGGGCTCCCTGTTATTCAAGTTGGTGGTCATGCACCTGCAGAATTTAGGTTGGGGAAAGTTCATGTATATCTTTGGGAGAACTAGCATGCAAAAATAAAAGTGATGACAACATGAATTTTGTAAAATTGAAAAATTCCTGAGGAAAACAAAAAGAAAGTTGAGGATGAATTGGATCTTAACTGATTCCATGGAGGAGGAAGAGTGTTCATAGCTATAAACTCTAAGAAATGAAGCACACGATGAAGTGAAAAGTTAGTCCTCAATCTCACAGATGAAACTGAGCCTCCTATAGGGAAAGGTGACTTCCAACCACAACCTGTGCACCCCCTAAGTGAACTTGTCAGTCATTCTACGTGATTCTGTGGGCAGCATAGGAGACTATAATGGAATGGCTGGTGGTTGCCATGCTGAGTCTCAAAAATGTGCTTGATACTAAAAAAATAATATAATAAAAAAACTAAACCAAAATTTTGTCATCCCTAGAATTCTTCAAACCTTGCTCCTAATATTTGTTAAGTATTCTGGGAATTTCAAAATCCCATTTTATCATTATTATACATTTTTTACATGTTTTGCTTATATTCACATGCTTTCTTGAGAGGGGAAACCAGCAGCAGATGTTTTGTCATGGGTCACATACACTATTCAGGACATATTAAAATAGTTGTAGTTGAGTATAAAATGTGAAAATAGGGCCCTAATATTTCTATCTTTTTATATGGAGAAAGTCAAATTATTATACAATTCTCCATTTCTGAGGCATCTCGGATGTGTGTATACCTCTTTATTCTGTCCTGTGTCACTATACAGCGAGATTGCCACAACTCACTTCTACCTTGATTATGATAATGTCTTCACAACTGGACTACCTCATTCAGTCTTACCATTCTGTCCTACACAGCACACACAGGTCAGCCTACAAATCCAAACTTACCTTATCATTCCTCTGGCCAAAAATTGTTTATGGTCATCCCCTTAGACTTTAAATAAAATATAATTGATATATTGGATGTGGAATGAGGACATAAGTGTCCTTACCCTTGTTCTAAGAATTCTGAAGTCTACTCATCTCCTTCCCTCCTTTCACTTGGTGAAATCCAGACCATTTCTGTTCAACTCTGTAATCCTTTTGGACACCATACATGTCCTAAACCACTACTATGTTTCTCTGACAGTTTTCACAGAGTCAGAAAGATTACCCAGCATTCAGTTGTTCTGGCCCTAATCAGGAATTGTAGAATCAGATGGCTAAAACATTCTCTTCTTAGCGATATCTCTGAGTTAGTAAATCAATCTGGCCTTAAAACCCCATGTATTTTCATAGCATGGCACATGAATAGCCAGTTCCTGGATGAAACAAGCTGTTTTGGGCCTCACATTCTCTTTGGTGCCTCCCCTTTTTCATAGTGTTCTAGAACATGTCTTTTCAGCTTCATTTCTTCTAGGAAACATTGCTATCACACCCATTACAAATTTGGCATAATTTTGCCAGAACTGTGGCCCATGCCTGTCAACACAGCAATTTAGGAAGCTGAGTTGGGGTGATTCCAGGTTGGAGGCAGCCTCTGCAATTTAGCAATCCCAAAGCAGCTTAGCAAGATACTGTTTAAAAAATAAAAAAGGACAGGAGAGGTGACCTAGTGGTAAAGTGCTTCTGTGATAAATTCCTAATACCAAAAATTATGGATTTGAATAATGCAATCTGCTGCTCACTCAGCCTCCCAACTGCATTGCATTCGTGTTTCTTTCACAGTCACATTCTGTGCTGCATTCTCCTGTTGGTCTTCAGTAAAGAATGTTTTTTGCAATATTGTGTCTGGCAGTCCTCCTACTCTTTTTCTGAATCTGAGAGTGGATATTTTGTGTTCTGAATATTAATCAAACCTATATTTATTATTTGATATCTTGCCATTCCCTTTGCCATTATAGCAGAATGCTTTTGAATAACAAATCAGGTTCTAGTCTATCCTGCATGAGATTTGTTTTATGTTTTATTTCCAACTGGAGATAATTATGCTCCAGTAGGTTTTCTCCGGGTATGGCATTGCTTGATGTCTATTCAGTTGCTATCCACTCTGTTCCATCTAGTAATGGCCTGATCACTCTTTCATGGAAAACCTGCATTGACCAGAATACCCAGCTGTGTCATCATTGTATTCCGTAAGTCTTGGGTGATTATTGGGTTTTGTCTTGGTTGGTGGTAATTAGAGGAGAGATTGGTTTGAGGTAAAACAGGGAAGGCCACACAAATGAAATCCAGCACTGATCCCCTTGTCCAGCATGGATGATGGGGTCCTCTGTTTTGAGCAAGGATTTCTTTTCTGGCCCTTTCTACAGGAGTGCAGAGATTACTGAGGGAAGGCCTCCTACACATTGGGGTTTGCTGCAGACACTTGACCCTTGCCAGGTGAGTAGGCTGATGATTTTTTTCCCCCTGGCATGCTCATGTATGTATTCTGAAAGGGAATACAAATGCAGTTGTCAGTTGTTCTCTGTTGATTTGAATAGCGAACAGTCCTGAATGCTTATGGGCCTATGAAAGTCAGAGAGTGGTCACTTCTTCCTGGCAGGTCCCTCTGTATGTTCCCATGAGAGTCTCTTGTTTCTGAAGACACTTCATGAGAGGGAATGCTAAAAGACAGTGGTGTTCATCGTGGCTGGTGGTTGATCTTCAGCTGGGAAATCAAGGTGACAGAGAAGGACCAGGGGGTAGTGTAGGAAAACATTCTCACCCTGAGCGGGCTGCTGCTGATGTGGATGTCTTTGTGGCAGGCATCCTTGTTGATGGCCTAGTGGGTCCTGGCACAGGGCAGGTGATTTTTCCAAATATCACTCAGCTGGGGCCCTTTACCTGACCTTCCCTGGTGTCAGCAAAGCATTCATGAGATTAGTGTGTCATGAAAGAAAAATACCACCTGTGCACTCATCAGATACAAGCAACCAAGACCTCGGAACAGCTCACAGGGAAGACTGTCAGAAGGGTGGGGTTGAAGCATGAGCAAGGCTACAACAGGCAGCTTATGAAACTTTGGGTGGATTGACCTCCCCAGGCAATGCTCCTGAATGGATTATGTACCTTACACTTAACATGCCACCGGTACATTTCTTTTTTTTTAATTGATTTTATTTTTTTTAATACACGACAGCTGAATGCATTGCAAAACTTATAACACATATAGAGCACAATTTTTCCTATATTTGTATATAAAGTGTCTTCACTCCAATTCCTGTCTTTATACATATATATTTTTTGCATTACAATTCTTATTACACATATACACCACAATTTTTCATATCTCTGTACATGAAGTATGTTGACACCAAATTTGTGTCTTCATACATGTACTTTGGATATTGATGTCCATCACATTCCACCATTCTTGCTAATCCCCTGCCCCCTCCCACCCCTCTTCCCTATCTAGAATTCATCTATTCCTGCCATGCTCCGCCCCACCCCACCCCACTAGGAGTCAGCCTCCTTATATCAGAGAAAATATTCGGCATTTGTTTTTTTTTTTTTTTTTGGGGGGGGGGGGATTGGCTAACTTCACTTAGCATTATCTTCTCCAACTCCATCCATTTACCTGCAAATACCATGATTTTATTGTCTTTTAATGCTAAGTAAAATTGCATTGTGTATATATGCCACATTTTAAAAAATCTCTTCATCCACTGAAGGACATCTAGGTTGGCTCCACAGTTTAGGTATTGTGAATTGTGCTGCTATGAACATTGATGTGGCTTTGTCCCTTTAGTATGCTGTTTTTAAGTCCTTTGGGTATAGACTGAGGAGAGGGATAGCTGGTTCAAATGGTGGCTCCATTCCCAGATTTCCAAGGAATCTCTATACTGCTTTCCATAATGGCTGCACTAATTTGCAGTCCCACCAGCAATGAATGAGTGTACATTTTCCCTCACATTCTCACCAACAGTTATTGTTGTTTGTCTTCATAATAGCTGCCATTATGACTGGAGTGAGATATCTTAGAGTAGTTTTGATTTTCATTTCTCTGATTGCTAGAGAGAATGAGCATTTTTTCATGTATTTGTTGATTGATTTTATATCCTCTTCTGAGAAATGTCTGTTCAAGTCCTTGGCCCATTTGTTGATTGGGTTATTTGGTTTTTTTGGTGCTTAGCTTTTTGAGTTCTTTATGTATCCAAGAGATTAGTGCTCTTTCTGATGTGTGAGGGATAAAAATTTGTTCCCAGGATGTGGGCTCTCTGTTCACCTGAAAATTGTTTCTTTTGATGAGAAGAAATGTTTTAATTTGATTCCATTCCATTTATTGATTCTTGGTTTTAATTCTTGTGCTATAGGAGTCTTATTGAGGAAGTTGGGGCCTAATGCCACATGATGAAGATTAGGACCTACTTTTTCCTCTATGAGACGCAGAGTCTCTGGTTTAATTCTTAGGACCTTGATCCATTTTGAGTTAAGTTTTGTGCATGGTGAGAGATAGGGGTTTAATTTCATTTTGTTTTGTATGGATTTCCAGTTTTTCACAGCACCATTTGTTGAAGATGCTATCTTTTCTCCAGTGCATGTTTTTGGCACCTTTGTCTAATATAAGATAATTATAATTTTGTGGGCTAGTCTCTTTGCTCTCTATTCTGTACCATTGGTCTACCAGTCTGTTTTGGTGCCAATACCATGCTGTTTTTGTTACTATTGCCCTGTAGTATAGTTTAAGGTCTGGTATAGTGATGCCACCTGCTTCATTCTTCCTTCTAAGGATTGCTTTAGCTATTCTGGGTCTCTTATTTTTCCAGATGAATTTCATGATTGCTTTTTCTATTTCTATGAGGAATGCCATTGGGATTTTGATCACAATTGCATTAAATCTGTATAGTGCTTTTGGTAATATGGTCATTTTGATAATATTAATTCTGCCTGTCCAAGAGCAAGGTAGACCTTTCCATCTTCTAAGGTCT